CCCCCCCCCCCAACTTTTGCAATATGGGTCACTGTGTAGACGACTCACCCAGTCTGCATGTGGTTCAAGGCCCCAGAGTTCTCTCAGCGATGCTAATGGGTGATCCGTGCTGGAGTCTGTAATTGGCACCTCTCACCAGCTCCATGTTCAAGACTGAGGGCCCAAGGGGGAGCCGGGCGTGGGGGGGCCAGCACCCCACCTCCCCCCACAGCACCCCCCCCCAGCCCCACAGAGTGACCTCAGGAAGCAGCGGGCCTCACCTGGCTATGACTGACTTTGCTCAGAGCCGGTGAAACCCAGCACAGTCCAAGTCATTTGCTTACATTTGCCAAACATTTTGCCATTTAAAAAAAAAAAAAAAATGCAATGCATATGAATTTCAAACTGTTGTATGTATAATCCTCTAATACTATTTTTAACCACTTCTAAAATCTGTGTTAACTCTTCAAGTCACTGACACAGTTCTCTAGGCTGAGTTTATTATGCTGGTTGCTTTTACTTTTCTCCTTTTTTTAATGCACCAAAAATATAATGTGATTCAAGGGATGCAATTAATCTATTGTAATTTTTGTTTTATCATTTGGTCCTCATTCGGATATTCTGCAAAAACAAGGATATACAGTGTGTTAGAAGAAGAAGAAGAAGAAAAAATGCTTGGAGAAAGAGTGTATAGGCAGCTTGCCTTTAAAAGAATCACATTTGAGACAACAGGGGATAATGTGATGAATTGCAAATTCGCCTTCTGGCTTTATTCCCCATGATTCAGTGATCGCTGTCATGGGAAGCCCTTTTATATTCATGCTTCACATTTCGAGAGGCCTTCTTTTCAACCCGTGGAGGAGACACACTTAGATGTTGGTTGTGTGCAGGGGTGCGGTGCTTCTGGGGCTAGGCAAGAGGAAGAGCAGTTCCCTGGCCCCAGCTGTGGGGCGGTCTGTGGCGGCGAACAGACCCGCAAGGTCGCGGAAGCTACCGCTTGTCCGATGCATTAACATGTCTCTGTTTTCAGGGACAGTCTTGAACAAAGAGGCCTTTGTCTGTTTCGAAAGTGGCCAAACCTCAAACAGCTAGCAAGCAGACCTCATTGTTTGGGATGAGAATCTTGGGAAAACCTCTCGCAGTCAAGCAGCCTCAGCCTCATAAGGCCACGTCCGTAAGGGGACAGAGCTTATGCGAGAGTGTGTGCACGCACACCCACACACGGCCCGTTTAACGTACCTTTCGTGTTTCTTCAGTGACCTTTGTCCGGGCCACTTGTGGCCCTGGGGAAGCTCTCAGGGGTGGTTTGGTTGGCTGTTTGCCTTTTCACCTCAGACACATATTTGCAGTTCACCCAGAGGATAACAAAAGAATCAGGAAAGAAAAGAGTGGAGGCTCTGAAGAGAGGGCTGTTGTGCCACATTTCTAACATACACTGTTAATGGGGCAGTTTGAGTGACAGCCCGAAAGCAGAGAAAGCACCATCCAGCAAGGAGGACCCAGAGAGAAGCTGGTGTCCCGGTGCAGGGCCACCGTGATCAGCTGCCTGGGACAGGATGCTTCCAAAACACTCCCACGCGTTTACTTTTAGTCTGTCCTTGTCGGTGAGCACAGGGACAGTCATCAATGTGTTAACTAGTAAAAGGAGGGATTGTTCTCCAAGCGATTCATAAAATATGTATGCTGTGTCACTCCAAAGGTTTTGAAACCTTCCTGTACAGGTTTGGGGGTAGTGTTGCTCTGAAATGTATTGCTAACAGGGCACTGCCGTCTGCATAGCTCTCCAAAACTCAGTACGCACACAGCGAGGCCCGATGACCTGGTGTTTTCACAGGGCCATTTGCTTAAAGAAAAAAAGCTTTTTGAAAACGCTTTGCATTTTTGGATTTTTTTTCCCCTAAGATTTTAGGATGAATGAGATGTTAGGATGAAAAAGGAAAACACCGCCAGGGCTCAATTTTGTCAACAAGTAGGTATGAACCGAAAGCCGTCTATTGCGAGATGGCTCTAAAGTGCGTTGTGTTACCTTTTAGGGTTTTAATTTCTCTCCTACTACAGAACAGAAAACGTAGTCTGGTTTTAGTGTTTCCTTTTGTGCTGCAAAGAATCATTGTACATACAGTGTTAGATCGAGCTCCTCGGTTATTTGTTTGGTTTTGAGTGAATGAAAAGATTCCCTGCTAAGAGCTCCACTGGACTAACAGAAAACTAAAACTTAAGGGAAAGAATAAACCTAGAAGGTTAATGCTAATCTTCTCTCTCTCTCTCCTGCTACAAACTCCTCCGCCATCTTGGTCGAACGTGCCCAGAGATGGATGAAAAGCCTCTCTTTGCTGTGACTTTTGACAGATTTGTGTAACTCCTACGTATATAGGCTAAGTTTTTTGACCAATATTATGCCTGCGTGTGAAGCGAACACCCTTTGTAAAAGTGGGTTTCCCTCTGGGGGATGGGGTTTCGGTGTGTGCTGACAGGAAGACCAGCGGCCTGGCCCCCTCCACGCCTCCGCCGAGGAAGGCTGTGAAGCGCCAAGGCACCCTGGGGATGCTGCCACTCCAGAAGGCCACAGCATGTGGGCTTTCCTCACAGCTAATGAAGGAGCAAGAGAGGCTTCCACTCACGGTCCCCCCCTAAGGAGTTTGCTAGTAGCGCTTAGCAGGCAAAATAATAAGGGGAAGCCAAGAGCTTCTAAGGAATCCTTTGACAGACTTGTTAATGTCTTCCAAGTAGGAAGGAGTGTGCTGCTCCATAAAAATCACTCTTTTCTCACCACTTTACAGTAGAATAGCTTCCTCTAGTGATGATTTTTAAAGTTAGGCCTGTACATTTTAAAGTGGTGTCTATACATTTAAATCCCTGATTCCACTTCCCTGTCTCCAGTCGTGACCTAGAACTTCCCCTCAGGCATGGCAAGATTTTCCCATCCCTTCCCCTTGGAAAGCTGCCACTCCAGAAGGCCACGGCCCGCAGGCTGTCCCCACAGCTAATGAAGGAGCCCGAGAGGCCCTCTGAGGTGACCCGCAGAAACGTTGCATACAGGGGCAACCAGCCAGTCCCCAGGATGATCCCCAGTCCACTCCCGAGGAACCTTCTCAGTAAAAGGATTCAGCCATGGTTGCTAACCATCATCACCCCCACCACAACCACCACCACCATGACCAGCCTTCTGGAGCAGGCCATTCATTGAGGAGCATATAAAATGGGGGGAAAAGTAAAATACACATGCACACTCACTGAGAAACCCTCTGAGGAAAAGTCATTGTTGGCTTCGATGAACCTGCAAGCTGGTTTCCTTGCTGTATGCTGTTCAGGTCCTTCTAAGTGTGGTGTCTTCTCCACCCAGTCAGGCCTACCGGACCTGAACCATAAGCACTCCTCAGCAGCGTTCAGCAATACAGGTCAATGTGTAGAAATCAGCAGGCTGATCAGAGGGAGAAGGACAGGATAAACTTGTACCATTTGGTGACATTCCGCTCGAGTGTTGTTTGTGTATTCGGTTGGGTTTGTTTTGAATGAAGGGAGAAAGCCACACAAGCTGTTTTTCAGACCAGCAGAGAATATGTGCTGTCTTGTGGTGTTCTTATCTGACCATTGTGATCACTCAGGAGAAAATTCCAGACATGCAGTAGGGGCTTGATTGCTGAGCCCTCTCCTCAGCCTGCTCTCAACCATGATGTGTTGTTTCCCTGTAGGTTAGAATCCAGGGCGAATACTTAAGAGGTGCCATGTTGTCCAAGAGAAGGTGCTGGTGAAATGAAGTCCAGCCTGGAAAGTTAGTTTGGAACATAAACATAGTCCTTACCCTCCGAGCTTTCTCTTGTTCATTGTCCCATCACTGCTAACTCAGTCCAAGTTCTTGAGTTCTAAAGGTACAAGGACCTAACCTCTTTGAACAGCTGTCCCTGATGATAGCCTTCAGAGCCAGCCCCCGTGGGGGATTATGGTTGCTCATGAATAATTCGGCAAGACAGAAGGATCTCTAACTGGTAGAAAGTGCAACAAGATATTCTTGTTCAGATGTGTCTCAGGGGACCTGTTGTCCCGGGTTACACGTGGAATCTACACTATCTGCACACACAGCCACCCACCCACACCTCCTGTTTCTCACGTTTGTAGGTGACCTCAGAGTGCTCGGTCATCGTGGCAGGAAGGGGTTACAAAGACTAAAACGGCAAATTCAGAAAAGCAAAGATTGTCCTGTACCTCAGCCAGCCGCGACTGCTCTGGAGACAGAGACAGAACTACCTCTCAGAGACCATCCACATGGTAGCTCAGTTTTCCTTTGCACGGTTGTCGCCATTAGGGGACGTATTGCATGAACTTGATATCTTCTAAAGATGTATTTAT